ACTTGCAGAAAATATACTTCTCCTAAAAAAAACCCAGACACCTATCTAAGAACTAGTAAGCAGAATATATTAAATTTTCATTCTTCAGTTTAGATGTAAGTAATACTGATGACTTAGTTACAGGTCTTGTTCCTTCCCCAGCTTGTGACTGGACAATGAAAAAGAAGCAGCACACTGATGAGTTCATCTCCTCCTATCAGCATGCTTCTTGTGAGCACATGAACTCATTGGCTCCTTGTGCTGATTCTTCCTCCCCCCCATCTATTTTTGGAAAAGGTAGGGAAGAGTTAGAACCCTGTCAGGATTTTATTGCTGCCTGTGTCACAAGTAGGTAGGCTCACCCTCTTTATTTGTCCTGGTGACCATTGTTACTGAAAGTAAATCAGCTAAATACACTCCAACTGCATCAAACCAAAAGGTGTGCAAAGTCTTAAAGTTCTTTTTCTGTATAAAAGCCTGTCCCATGCCAGCATACTGTAGAGAAGGACCCTTTCTGTCTATGTGGAAGAAACAGTCGCTCTACAGGGGTCCAACACCCCAGTGCTGAGTTAAAGCTAGAGCTCTCCAAATTATAGGTCTGACCTTGTTCTTAGCCACATCAAGCTGGTTAAAGCCTCTTTTACGTTTTCATTTACTTGAATGGAGAGAAAAGCAGTTCTTGGGCAAACAAACCCCCCTATTCAAACTGTGGAAATGTAGAAAAAAACTTTCGGCTTTCATCTTCTGAAAATAACAAGTAGATCCCCATGAATTCGGTGCCTGCTGGTAACAACGGGAGTGCTGGGCCGCTCCAAACAATTCCTTCATTTAGAAGACACAGGGATCAAAATGTAAGAGTAACTTCGTTCTCAAAGAGCTAACATTGTCCCCAGCCTTCTCTTCAGCTTTTCAAACTCAACCACTTGAAAGTCTTTCTTGTACTGTTAAGAAATATGTGTCTATCTATAATTTTGTGGTGGTGTCAGAGTCTGTTCCATTAGCCCGGTAGGAACATATTGCACTTGTTCCCTTCTGTGGAATAATAAACATCTTCCCTGCTTGAAATGTATCTAATCTTCAAAGTTTTTCTAATCACTTCAAACTGGAAAAGTTGGGTTTTTTTTCATTGTATATTTAAGTGCCAACTTAGAGTAAATAACTACCTCCAATGTGGTTATCATGACTGCACAGGTTAGTGACTTCATCAATATAGAACTCATGAGCCTTAGTGAGTCTTTTGACACCTCTCAGTACCCCGTGCAAACACTTTCAAACAAACAATCAAACAATCAAACAAACAATTTGATGAATATGACCCATATGTAGCAATATCCACCCAAGGGGCTGTTGGAAATATATTGGGTCCCTTTCACCTGTTCAGAGGCTTCCTGCCCTGTTTCTAGTCCCAGTAGCACACCGACAAACTCAGGCTCCAGCCTGTCTTTTTAAGGTATTGAACAGAATGCCGGGAGGAGGTTTTAGGGTGCAGGGTACCCAGAACACACATAAAAATATTGGAGAACAGCTGAAAAATAGTCTCCCAGCAGTATTGGACCCTATAGTAGCAGCCTCAAAGTTAGTGCTGATGGATAAAGGGCAGCCAGAAATCTGGGAAGCCCCAGGGGAAGAGACTGTAGGCAGGTGAAGTCTGCTCCTCCACTGCAGGTGGTGCTTGGCCAGAGCAACAAGACAGCCTGGAGAGGAGGTCAAGGGGAAATTTGGTTTCTCTGTGGTTTCCTGGTTACTGGAGACAACATTCCAGTTGGCAACACTTGATCTAGGTGACCCTTGGAGTCCATCTTTGGTCATCAGGGTCTTTTTAAGTCCCTGCTCCCCAGGATTTGGTGCACGATTGAGTGTGAGTAGTGTCGGGACAGGTACCGAGTCTGTCAGGGGCAGTACTATCAGCAAGGTAAGGTTCCAGATAAGTAGGGAAAGCATAGGGTTCACAACTTATCTAGACTTCTTCCCGCTGGGACATGTGACAGCCAGACTGCATTCTGCCCCTCCTATAAAACGCTGTCAGTGCAGCAGAAACTTGCTCCTCTACACAGTTTGAATCCTTGAGTGTTCCAATTGGGCTGTCTTCCCACTGGGTTTGTTGTGAACTGTCTTTGCTCTACTTCATTACAAGTTCCTTACATAGCACCCGGACAGTGTATATGTTATTACCATTGCACCACCCTGCACCCATTTACAAGACTTCTAATCAGATCCTTCCAGTCACACCTTCTGGGTCAGCCTCCCAAGGTCAGGCTAGGATCCAATAAGCATTCATAACCCAGTGAATATTCTTCCAGCAGTAGGCACAAGCAATCAGCCAGCAGGTTTAGAGAAAACACAAAGCAGACCTGAGTAGTAACTTGCAACTCGGCTGACTACAGCAAAGCCTCATAGTTAATTTACCCAGCCCAAGGCAGGTCTGCTACACATATACATTATATGGACAGAAGAGGAGGGAGGGGGTCATGGTTGGTACGCTTTGAGGATTGCCCTATTTATTACATGTGTTTATATAGCACCACCAATTTATGCAGCACTGTACATACTATTTTTTCACAGTCCCTGCCCTCAAGGAGCTTATGATCTAAGGTACTTATGTCATACACCTACTAGGCCCAATTTGGACAGGAGCCACGTAACCTACCAGCATGTCTTTGGAGTATTGGAGAAATCGGAAATTCCTGGAGGAAATCCACACAAGCACAGGGAAGACATGCAAACTTAAGTCAAAATTCAAACCAAGGTAAAATGAGCTCAGTGTCCGGTCCAAATGTAAGTTCAAGTCAAACACTGTCTGTCAGAACATTTGTCACTCAGCCCATTCACTTACAGGATCAGGAATGGGTAGGGAAATGAGCCTTACATCATTCCCTGAATATGGCCACACTGCCATATATGGCAATAACATGTGCAATGATGTCACCAATATTCCCACCCCTTCCTTTATTCAACCAGTGAGCGCTCAGGGAGCTGTTATTTGGATAGTGTCACTGTTGGCACTCTGTCATGTGCAGTGATTCGATGAGATTTTTTTTTTAGTGAATGGATGGCAGCGGACATGGTGATTGATAATGGATTTCAATAAGGGCCTAGGACTGGGATGTGGTGATTTTAATTTTTTTAATAAACTTGTCAAACATTTGGGTCTGTATTACTATGCTACAACTCTTTTTTTGTGTAAGGTATACTATGTAGTCCGTACTTATTCACATGTTGGGGGGTTATCTGGGGACTCCCTTATTTTTAAGGGGGGCTTCCAGATTCTGCTAAGCCCCCTGCCTGCAACTTCTGGGGAAGAAGTCATTATTCTCATCAACATGGTACCCCCTCACTATGTGGTTCAGGAGGGGAGGTGCTGCACACTCATCATTGCTGCCCTTCCCGGCCATCCAGGTTGCATGCTCAGATTAAGGATCTGGTATGGATTTTTAGGGGGACTTTATACATTTTTTTGTCTATTTGCTTGGGATTCCCCTTAAAATCCATACCAGACCTGAAGGGCTTGGTATGGATTTCCAGGCAGACCTTAGTGGGGGTTTTTTATTTGTTTTGTTTTTATATGTGAGGTAACCACTTAAAATCCATACCAGATTGAAAAGGTCTAGTATGCATTTTGGGTAAACTCTATGAAATTTTTATTTTCATTCTTGCTATAGCATGTGCTACAATGAAAATTACAAGTAAGAAAAAAAGCTGTTTAAATTGCCTAAAAAAAAAAAAAAAACAGCAGACAAACCCCTTCAAAGATCCCCCACAATACATAGGATTTTCCTGGGGGAGTCTATGTCCTGTTTTTGTTTTAGGCACAGAAGTCGGCAATGACAGTAGTGAAAGTCATTTGCTGTAAATTTTAAAACTTTTTTCCTATGTAAATGTCAGTACTAAAAAGTAATTGCTCCCTAATGCATGGAATTTAAAAAAACATTTTATTTTTTTATTGGGACATGTTCCCCAGGGCAATGCCCACCCCCCATGCTTTTTATTTACACCCCATTGCATATAAGCTTAGAAAACACCCATTTTTTAATTTGACAGGTTCAGCTCTCATTGATTTAATTGGGTTTTGGGTTCGACCACCTAACTTCTATGATGTTTGGCGAATCCCTGCCAAGTCGAATCCAGGACTTTTCAGCTCATTAATAGTCCTATGTCAAATGTGTTAACCATTAACATAGGCACTCACCTTTCCTGCTGTCCATGGCACTGGCCCACATTTGAAATTATGGTATATCATGACATAATTGTCCTATATTATTACATTAAATTATGCCATGTTATGTCACCAGAGGAAAAACATCACATTGGGAGGGTCCCTTAGCTATGTGGCCAGTAATGACTGAGACAGGAACTGATAGGAACTGAGACAGATTCTTTCAGATGGGGAACAGACAGGGGCGGACTGACAACTAATGGGGCCCCCGGGAAATAGGGGATCATGGGTCAAAAAAGCCCATGAAAAAGGTACCAGGGGCATCTCATGGGGCCCCCTACTGACCCCGGGCCCTTGGGCAGCGCCCGAGTTTCCAAGTGGTCAGTCCGCCCCTGGGAACAGACAGTAATAATTTCCACACCTTCCAGCTCTACCTCCGAAGCCAAAGAAAAATGTTGCTGTGGTTCCACTTTAACCGCTTGCCTACAGGGCACTTATACCCCCTTCCTGCCCAGGCCAATTTCCAGCTCTCAGCGCTGTCACACTTTGACAATTGCGCGGTCATGCAACATTGTACCCATATGAAATTTTTAAAATTTTTTTGAGACAGATGGAGCTTTATTTTGGTGGTATTTAATCATCTCGGGGTTTTTTTTATTTTTTCTTAAACAAACCAAAAACCGCTGAAAATTTTGAAAAAAAAAATGTTTTTTCTTAGTTTTTGTTGTAACATTTTGTAAATAAGTGATTTTTCTCCTTCACTGATGTGTGCTAATGAGGCTGCAGTGATGGGCACGGATATGCTGCACTGATGGACACTGATAGGTGGCACTGATGGGCACTGATGAGGAGGCACTGGTAGGTGGCACTGATGGACATTGACAGGCATCACTGATGGGCACTGAAAGGCAGCACTGATATATGGCACTGATAGGCGGCACTGACTGGCACTGTTAGGTGGCACTGACTGGCACTGATAGGCGGCACTGACTGGCACTGATAGGTGGCACTGATTGGCAGCACTGATAGGTGGCACTGATTGGCATTGATGGGTGACACTGAAAGGCAGCTCAGATAGGCACTGATATGTGGCATTGATGTGCACTGGTAGGCACTGATATGTGGCATTGATGTGGCACTGGCATGTGGCACTGTTCAGCACTGGCAGCTGGCACTGATGGACACTGACAGGTGGCACTTCTGGGGCCACACTGATCATCAGGGCACACTGATCATCAGTGCCCTGATGATCAGTGTACATGTCCCCTCCGCGGAATGCAGATTACCGGCCTCGTGTTGCCTCCGGGAGTTACAAAACCAGCCCTGAGTGATTCCTGTGTCAGATCCTGAGAGGGGGAACTACATCTTGGCAAAGATTTATCTGACCTGCTGGACCACATCTTCACCACACGAGGGCGCTTGATCTTCATTCTTTCCAGTTTTTCCCGTGATCAGACCAGAAAGGAGAGGAAAAACTTCAGGATATTTATTCACATCCGTATTACCTATAGGCTTCTGGTTAGTGCGCACTTCTACCATTTGCACTGGGAATCAACGAGCACCTTTTACTGGACTGTGTCTTATTATTATCCATTTATTAATACTACCACAACCATTTATGATATATTAATAGCGCTGCATTTTACTTATATATTTATTTCTTGGGACTTTTATGCGTTTTCCTTGAATGTTCAGCTGCTAATTATTGAGAGCGCTCACTGTAGTTTTACATTTTTCTTTAAGGAGAAATACTGACAGCGTCTGCTTCAGAGGGTAAAGTGTGGCCTGGCCAGTCCGGTCCAAAGTGAGGAAGCTTCTTTTCTGGAAAGCAAGTCCCTAGTCTGTGCCTTCTAGTTAGGAACCTTTCCATTCTGTTAGTTACTTTCCCTAACATGCGGGGTCTCTCTCCTTACACTAGTCACTCCCTATATTAGCCACAAAATCCCGGGGACAGGGACTTATATAGACCCTGCTGACCCAAGATGGCCACCAAGGATCACATGGCTACAGCGTAGCCAACCAGAACATTGCTCCATCGACCCAGGAAACCATAGAGAAACTTTGTTTCCTTTTGACTTCTTCTCTAGGCTGTGGTGCGACTCAGATCAAGCACCACTTACCGTGGAGAACACAGACTGCGCCTGCCTACAAGTGCACATAATGAACATAACCCAACCAGTTTGCATTTTAAAAAGTAAAGCTAAAAACAGTTTTGTATACAGATTTAGTTACGTTACTTAACTGTAATGAAGTACAATGTGCAGGGGCCGACTGACAACTCATGGGGCCCCCGGGCAATAGGGGATCATGGGGCCCCTGTGTCCTTGCCCAAACTCAAAAACGCATATGAAAAAGGTACCAGGGGCATCTCATGGGGCCCCCTACTGACCCCGGGCCCTCGGGCAGTGCCCGAGTTTCCAAATGGTCAGTCCGCCCCTGACAATGTGTGTGTCCCACAATGTGCAGGCTGCTGGTTTCTGTAGAAATCTTCACTTCAGGCATGCCCTATCCTCTTCCTGCTGCTGAGCTTCCTGTACTGAGGAGGGTAAACAGTTTTGGATTTCTGGGCTCAACTGCACTAAAGATGATCTGACGGGGACAAGCCACCTGCTTCCTCCTCCTCTACTGAAAAGTTCTATCACTGTTTACACTGGCTGTAATACAATCTGTGAATGGGGAAGAGTCTGATCGGTCAAAGGAGTCTTTCCCCCATTCACAGATTGAGGAAAAGGCAGGAGGGAGTGTGTTCCAGTTGGATCATTTGTAGTGCAGCTGAGCCAGGAGACAGTGAAGCTGCTAACCCCCATGGTACCGGAAGTTCAGCAGCAGGAAGAAGACAGGGCAGCCCTGTAGTGAAGATTTCTACATAATAAATAATGGGTAAATAATGTAACTTTAAGCATTATAATACAATGATCTGAACACAATTGACATCTGTGCAGAAAAGTAGTGGGGGTGTGGAAATATATCAATTTATAAAGGGAGTTGTCACAGTAGATGTGGGGGGCACTGCTTTGACTTTTGCATGTGGCTTTCTATTAAGTTACCATCAATGTTCTCTGTAGAACAAATCACTGTTCTCTGTAGAACAAATCACTCCTATTACCTGTCATGCACTGTGGTACAGTAGCACAGATGTGTTGAGTATGTTTGTTGGGGTGCCATTTAAAATGAATGCATACATACAAAATACAGTATATTGCAATGTACAGTGGTAAAGCCGTTGGCACTACACCAGGGGCGGACCGACAACTCATGGGGCCCTCAGGCAATAGGGGATCATGGGGCCCCTGTGTCCTTGCCCAAACTCAAAAAAGCCTATGAAAAAGGTAACAGGGGCATTTCATGGGGCCCCCTACTGCCCCCTGGCCCTCGGGCAGTGCCCGAGTTTCCAAATGGTCAGTCCGCCCCTGCACTACACATGCTAAGGATAACAATCCTTATTATCCGTAAATAGTGCCAAAAATGGTGATAAAATAGAATCCCACCACTACTGTGCTTATTTGCACAAAATAACTTGCGATGTGAAAATATACCTACAGGTATATTACGTGCCAAACTGGTATCGCCAAAAAGATCTACCAGAAAAGGACACTTATAGTGCACATAGGTGAAATGAAAGGAAACTTTTTGAAAAAGTGTTTTTTCATGAGTAACCAAGATATTTTGTGCAAATAAGCACAGTAGTGGTGGGATTCTATTTTATCACCATTTGTGGAACTATTTACGGATAATAAGGATTGTCACTTATAAGTCACCGATTTATGGTGTACTTAGGTTATACCCTAGATATATTTTGGGGGTTTCACTGTTATATATGATTTTGTATTTTCATGTGCATTCTATTCTATATATCTTGATATTCATTAGTCACCTATTTATGGCGCACTTAGGTTACACCCTAGATTTAGTACTTTGGAGGCTCCACTGTTATATATGAGTTTTATGTGCATTCTAATCTATATATATGTTGGGATTTATATGCTCTTTCTGTGAAGTTTTCTGTTTATTTTGATTCAAGGGATACATTATTAGCGCAGCACCAAATTATTATATTTAATTATTGTCCATTGTGGTATGTGGTAGGGTGTTAGCGACTATGTTTAGAGATTGACATTCTGAGCGCGGGTGGGACTATATACAGTCAGGTCCATAAATATTGGGACATCGACACAATTCTAACATTTTTGGCTCTATACACCACCACAATGGATTGAAATGAAACGAACAAGATGTGCTTTCACTGCAGACTGTCAGCTTTAATTTGAGAGTATTTACATCCAAATCAGGTGAACGGTGTAGGAATTACAACAGTTTGCATATGTGCCTCCCACTTGTTAAGGGACCAAAAGTAATGGGACAATTGGCTTCTCAGCTGTTCCATGGCCAGGCGTGTGTTATCCCCTCATTATCCCAATTACAATGAGCAGATAAAAGGTCCAGAGTTCATTTCAAGTGTGCTATTTGTATTTGGAATCTGTTGCTGTCAACTCTCAAGATGAGATCCAAAGAGCTGTCATTATCAGTGAAGCAAGCCATCATTAGGCTGAAAAAACAAAACAAACCCATCAGAGAGATAGCAAAACATTAGGAGTGGCCAAAACAGCTGTTTGGAACATTCTTAAAAAGAAGGAATGCACCGGTGAGCTCAGCAACACCAAAAGACCAGGAAGACCACGGAAAACAACTGTGGTGGATGACTAAAGAATTCTTTCCCTGGTGAAGAAAACACCCTTCACAACAGTGAAGAGTGAATACAGAGGGTTCACCACAAGATGTAAACCATTGGTGAGACTCAAAAACAGGAAGGCCAGATTAGAGTTTGCCAAACGACATCTAAAAAAGCCTTCACAGTTCTAGAACAACATCCTATGGACAGATGAGACCAAGATCAACTTGTACCAGAGTGATGGGAAGAGAAGAGTATGGAGAAGGAAAGGAACTGCTCATGATCCTAAGCATACCACCTCATCAGTGAAGCATGGTGGTGGTAGTGTCATGGCGTGGGCATGTATGGCTGCCAATGGAACTAATTCTCTTGTATTTATTGATGATGTGACTGCTGACAAAAGCAGCAGGATGAATTCTGAAGTGTTTCGGGCAATATTATCTACTCATATTCAGCCAAATGCTTCACAACTCATTGGACGCCGCTTCACAGTGCAGATGGACAATGACCAAAGCATACTGCAAAAGCAACCAAAGAGTTTTTTAAGGGAAAGAAGTGGAATGTTATGCAATGGCCAAGTCAATCACCTGACCTGAATCCGATTGAGCATGCATTTCACTTGCTGAAGACAAAACTGAAGGGAAAATGCCCCAAGAACAAGCAGGAACTGAAGACAGTTGTAGTAGGGGCCTGGCAGAGCATCACCAGGGATGAAACCCAGCGTCTGGTGATGTCTATGCGTTCCAGACTTCAGGCTGTAATTGACTGCAAAGGATTTGCAACCAAGTATTAAAAAGTGAAAGTTTGATTTATGATTATTATTCTGTCCCATTACTTTTGGTCCTTAACAAGTGGGAGGCACATATGCAAACTGTTGTAATTCCTACACCGTTCACCTGATTTGGATGTAAATACCCTCAAATTAAAGCTGACAGTCTGCAGTGAAAGCACATATTCAATTCATTTCAAATCCATTGTGGTGGTGTATAGAGCCAAAAATGTTAGAATTGTGTCGATGTCCCAATTGTGTCGATCGTCCCAAAACTGTATTTAACCCTGGGTACATCGACACAAATAAATAACCTCACAGTGATGAATTATTCTTTCTGTGCGTGATTCCTACTCCATTATCTACTTGTTACCCTCAAAAAAAAAGATTCACTTTTCACTGGTGGCAAATACTAATGAGTGAAGGGAACACAAGAGAGCACTATAATGAGGAATCGAGATATCATATTGTATTTTGATCTTTTCGGGGGTCCATCGCCTGGGAAAGGGAGGAAGGAAGAAAAGTCTGTTTTGTGGGATAATTTTGCTGGTGAATGTGTTACGAGGGGATTTCCAAGTAGTTAGAGGGTAAGGATAACAGATATTTAACAGATATAACAGATATTTAGACGTGGACACTTACTGGAGTGTGGAGCACATTTTACACAGATTTTTGTAAGTGTGATTCGGAGTCATAATTTTGCGTATATTGAGGATAATACACTATGTACGTTTTATCTTTTCTTTTACAAAGAATTTTATTATAGATTGAGCAATGATAAACAAACATTCGGAACATAGATTCATTGACCAATACATAGGAAATTGTACTGTATGATTGAGAACTAATGAAAAGCGTACATTGGAATAAAAAAAACCCCCCCAAAACCTCAGCTTTAACTTATTACAGAAATGCCCGGTAGGAAGGATACGATTAACAATCTTTGATGGTCAATGATAGTGTAGATTCTGAGAGAAAAAATTGCTACATCGA